CTTACTGAAATTCCTTTAAATGCTTGGTGGATTGATTCTGGTGCTACTATTCATGTTTGAAATATGATAAAAGGATTCCTTACAACCCAGACCATAAATCTAAATAAGAAATTCATTTTCATGGGCAACCGAGTTAAAGCTCCAGTTGAAGCTATTTGGACTTTTCATCTGTTTCTAGATACCAGTTATCATTTAGATTTGTTGTAGACACTATGTTCTTTCTATTTCTCGAAATTTAGTTTCTTTGACTAGACTTGATGTTGATGGATACACATTTAAATTTGGTAATAAGGGTGCTAGTTTGTTTAAGAATACATCTTTCATTGGCTCTGGTATTCTACATGATGGATTGTACAAATTGAAACTTGATGACTTATTTGTTGAGTTTCTTCTAACCTTGCATCATAATATTGGAATTAAACGTATAGCTTGATGGATGAAAATTCTTCAAACTTGTGACATAAACGATTGGGTCACATATCCAAAGAAAAGTTAGAGAGATTAGTGATGGATGAGATTTTTCTGAATCTAGATTTCACTGACCTTGTGGTGTGTGTAATGGCAAACAAAACCAAACACACCAAGAAAGGTGCTACAAGAAGTAATGAACTCCTTGAAAATTTTCATACAGATATATGTGGACCTTTTGACACTCCATCTTTTGGCGGAGAAAAGTATTTTGTTACATTTATAGTTGTCTTTTCACGTTTTGATTATACCTATTTATTGCATGAAAAATCTCAACCACTGGATGCCCTTGAGGTATTGAGGTTGAAAAATAGTTAGATACAAAGTNTTTATTGCATGAAAAATCTCAACCACTGGATGCCCTTGAGGTATTGAGGTTGAAAAATAGTTAGATACAAAGGTGAAAGTAATTAGATCAGATAGATGTGGTGAATATTAAAGAAGGTATGATGGTTTAAGAAAATGTCTTGATCTATTTGCTAAACTCCTTGAAAAGCATGACATTTGTGCGCAATACACTATGCCCATACGCCACAACAGAATGGCGTAGCTGAAAAGTATAACCCTACTTTAATGAACATGGTTATGAATATATTAAGTAATTCCTTATTACCCTTATCCTTGTGAATGAAAACTCTTAAGACCTCTATATATTTATTAAACCATATTTCTAGTAAGGTAGTTCCAAAGACCCCTTTTAAATTGTGGACAGAAAGACAACCAAGTTTGAGACACTTGTATGTTTGGGGTTGTCCAACGGAGGCAATGATTTATAATTCACATGAAAAAAAATTTGAATTTTGGAACGATCAATGGTTATTTTATTGGTTACCCAAAAAAATCTAAAGGGTATAGGTTTTACCGTCCTACCTTTATTACGAGAATTGTTGAAATAGATAATGCTAGAGTCATTGAGGATGGTGAAATTAGCGGGAGTGATAATTCACAAAATTTGGTTATTGAAGAAGTTAGGAAGAAAGTCCCACCGCCCGTAATTTCTAATGATGTTATGTTCCTACAATTGTTGTACGATCTCTCAATGTTGAACATCAAATAAATGATCAGCCCCATCATTGAGCCGATAGTAGAAGAATTACAAGGGATGACATTAATTAATAGTTTCAAAGAGAAAGAAGACTTGTTATTTCAAATAATTATGTGATATATGTACAAGAATCTGACTTTGATATAGGGACAAGTAAAGATCTGGTTTAGTTTTCACAAGCCGAAAGTGATGATTCTACTAAATGGATTGAAGCTATGACCGATGAATTGAAATCAATGGAATAGAATGAAGTATTAGATCTTGTTGAACTGCCTGAAGGATTTAAGAATGTTAGGTCTAAATGGGTCTTTAAGGCCAAACGCAACATAAAGTTAGACTTGTGGCCAAATCTTTTCTCCTATATCCAAGAAGGACTCACTTAGAATTATTATGACATTGATGGCACATTATGATTTGAAGTTGCATTAAATAATTGTGAAAACAATTTTTCTAAATGGGAGTTTGGAGGAAGAAGTGGATCAACATGAAGGATTATCCATTAAAGGAAAATAACAAATGGTTTATAAACTTAAGAAATCAATGCATGGCCTTAAACAAGCTTTCTGACAATGGTACCTTAAGTTTAATGATACTATTACTTCCTTTGATTTTATGAAAACACTATTGATCAGTGTATATATTTGAAAATTAGAGGGAATAAGTTTGTATTTTTGATTCTATATGTTGACGATATATTACTAGTCACTAATGGTGCTGTGAACGGGATTTCGTTTCTACGTTTCGTTGTGTTACTTTTCAATGCATAATTTAGTTCCTTATGCATCAATCCTTTTTCTTTCGGTTATAATGGGTCAATTTCTTTATACGATGGCGACTGGGGCTCTCAATGGTCCCATCCTACTCCAAGTAGTGGCGTTCCAAGTAGCCTAGGTATGATATCTTGGATCAATTTTTTCTTCTTAATAAGCTATAAGCTACAATCTAATTACACGTGATACATTTGACGTAGTGATATGTCTAAACAGCTGCCATCGACTTTATGATGAAAGGGTGGTTTCCTCAATCTCTTGGTGCAAGCCATTCAGGTTTTTTTTTTCTACTCTGTTTTGGAGTGAAGTGAAGTTAGCTTCTTCAAAGACTTGCAAACACCCCTAAATTGAGCAAGCTGAAGACTTATAACCCAAATTGTACGAAAGACATGTAGCTACTCGGGACTTGAATCTAACTTTTGGAAGACAATTATGCTCTGCCTAAGCTTATGATCCGAGTTGGATAAATTTTTGTAAGGTATAAACCAATGAAAACTCTGGAAACAGTTTTTCAAGCGTCGCATTCTAAGATTAAAAACGAAATATGCAAAGTAAATCACAACAACTGCGTTTTTTTTTTGGTTGGGTGCCTGTTGATTTGTAGTTCCATTAATAGTAGGTATGCATTATTTTTAGGACTCCTTGATTAATTGTGGGGTTTGCGTTAGGCAACTGGAAAAAGAATTTGCACCAAAAATATATTTTGTTGACGTTATTGTGATATTAGAGTATTAACAACTATTAAATTTTGAAAATAACCTAATTATATTTCTTTTGTTACTAGTAATTGCACAGGTGTGTTGCACGTGAATCATTCTAAATTATAATTTTCTTAATTTTTTTTAATAAATATAGTAACAAATATATGTATACCTCTATGCCCAGCTTTAGCTTGAGTAATAAGTTATTAAACATGTCGCAATTTTGGTTGTAACATCCCATGTCATGGGAAAACTAGTTTGGATGAAATTGAAAACTATAGATTTATAATTGTGAAAAGTTGGGGGAAGAAACTAAAAAAATTTCGTAAAAATTCTGGGGCTTTCTAGCAAGTTATCGATTGTGCTTTAGATAAATTATGTTGATCGTTCATGAAGACAACAGAAAAAGCAATGCATCAGGTGGCAATCATAAGGATTACTATTTGTGACTATGCATCCTTGGGGAATATAAAAAATAAATAGGAACCAAAGTTGAGGGGAAACCCCTGAATTGCAAATGTTTATAGGAAGAGGCCACAATGGCTTTTCCTGGAGGTGAAAATGGAAGCCACTACAACTTGAGAATCGAAAAATAAGTGAAGTCCTAAAAGGAAGGTAAAGAAAAAATCTTTTGTGGATTCAAATTAAAGTACCTGTATTTTGATGGATGGGTTAGATTGCTAGTACGTTGACAGGAGCTGTGTACGTGCAACTCGTCTATTGAGCAAGAAAATAACAGAGCATAGAGGTATAAAATAGGTCATAGAACCTGTGCAATATTGTTGCCTGCTTCAATTGTTGTCATTCATGAAAGTCTACTTATATTCTACTTGACTGTATTTAAAATAGAATTAGAAATAGATGGTTTTGATAAATTTTGCAAAAGACCAGTCTTGATTCTTTGAAATAATCAAGTAATTGAAATACAAGATAGAAAAACATTAGTTAGCCCCGAAAAGATATGAACTAAGCAACTTTTACAATTTTCATGGAAGGATTACAATTTAATTTTGATGAATTGTTTTGGTCTCCTAAAAAACTAAAACGTTTCAAAAATGATTCAAAAATATTTCAAAAACGGAATATAAACAAATAAAAAAGTTTTAAAATTTATTTTTGGAATATTGGTTGAAACTTCTCAAAACACTTCGAAGAACCTGAAAACGTAAGAAATCGACAATTAATCAGCTTGGGAAGTACTAAGAAGTCAGGGTCAGCAGAGTGTCCAGGCAGCATCAATTTGGAAGCAAGCTTCACCCCCTAATGCACATTTGATTGGCTGGAAAATTTTGAGAAACGCCTGGCCAATAGATTCTACCTTTCAAAGTATGGGAATCTCTATGGTGAGTAGAGATGTCTTATGTTGTAAGGATAAGGAAATGATTGATCATATGTTCATTAATTGTGATTGTCTGGAGTAAACTTTCTACCTTACTAGGATTTCAAATCATACAAGGAGAATCTCCAATAACAAGGTTTCTTAGACTACTTAGAAATTTTAAGCGTCCATTGCATTTTCAATCATTGATGAGAGGTATCTCCTTGATTGTATATTGACAATTATGGAAAAAGAGGTGTAGGAGGATCTTTGAAGGGCAGGGGCAACACCAACTTCTATTTATTATAGAATTCTGCATTTTTGGAGATTGCAAGCTCATAATACCTTATCCAAGGTAGTAGACTCTGGTTATGACCAATCTCTTCTTTCTTCTCTTAATGTCTCCTCTGTCTATACCATATCCAAATATGCTAAATGGATACGTAGGGAATTACCACCTGAAGGAAATCTTAAACTCAATATTGATGGTGCCTCTAAGGGCAATCCAGGACTTTCTGGTGGAGGAGTGGCTCTGAGAAATCATTGGGGTATTCTGGTTCTGGCTGGATCCTTCTTCTATGGAGTTTGTACTAATATAGAAGCTGAAATGAGATCTTTGGTTGATGGTTTGCATTTGTTAAAAGAGTTTGGTTTGGATTTCTATCCACTTACTATTGAAAGTGATTTTTAGGTTTTAGTTGACATGGTTAAACAGAAGAAGTTGCCTAGTTGGAGACACTGGAACATTTATTATCAAATCTTTTCTTTACTTGAGTATTTTGACTTTCAAATCCAGCATTCATATAGAGAGGGAAATACTGTGGTAGACTCATTGGCGAATCTAGGTGTTTAGAACAGAACTTCTGTATCCTATTCCTCTTCTGCAACACTACCAATCCAAACCAAGCAACTGCTATTGCAGGATCAGAGACAGATTAGATCTCTGCGTTCTAAGATTACAACTTCAAGATTGAAGTCACAACTTTTATAGCATCTACCTTTATTCAGGCAAATGGACTGGTTTCTTTTAGGAAGCAAATTGATTCAGATTGGGAGTTTGGTCAGCTTCTGCATTCTGATAACTGCTGGAAGGATGTTGTTGCAGAAGGATCAGAAAAAACTGCTTACTGCAAGGTTGAGGAGGGCTGTTTACAGGGATATTCTGCCCTTGTTAATGACTTGTTTCTGCACAGGTAGTGATGATTGGAGAGTGCTGTCAAACTGGAATGTTGCTAGGCTGTGTGGTGTTACTGTGTTGCTGCTCAAGCTATCTTTGAGAATCTTGAAGGAGTGAAGTTGAAAGAAGCCTTAACAGCAGTTTTGTCTATTTTTTGTAACAGAATTGTCGGGTATAGGATAACAAAATTTCTGTTATGAAACAAAAAATCTATTTTTAACAGTTTCTGTTTTTTGTTAAAACAAAATTTTTTCTGTTTTGATTCTTGTAGTTTCTGAAATTCATTCAATAAAATTTCCTTCCTCTAAAAAAAAAATATATTATTTCAAGGGGCTAATCAAGCAAGGATATAAATTGATGACGTATTTTAACNTTGTGGTAGACTCATTGGCGAATCTAGGTGTTTAGAACAGAACTTCTGTATCCTATTCCTCTTCTGCAACACTACCAATCCAAACCAAGCAACTGCTATTGCAGGATCAGAGACAGATTAGATCTCTGCGTTCTAAGATTACAACTTCAAGATTGAAGTCACAACTTTTATAGCATCTACCTTTATTCAGGCAAATGGACTGGTTTCTTTTAGGAAGCAAATTGATTCAGATTGGGAGTTTGGTCAGCTTCTGCATTCTGATAACTGCTGGAAGGATGTTGTTGCAGAAGGATCAGAAAAAACTGCTTACTGCAAGGTTGAGGAGGGCTGTTTACAGGGATATTCTGCCCTTGTTAATGACTTGTTTCTGCACAGGTAGTGATGATTGGAGAGTGCTGTCAAACTGGAATGTTGCTAGGCTGTGTGGTGTTACTGTGTTGCTGCTCAAGCTATCTTTGAGAATCTTGAAGGAGTGAAGTTGAAAGAAGCCTTAACAGCAGTTTTGTCTATTTTTTGTAACAGAATTGTCGGGTATAGGATAACAAAATTTCTGTTATGAAACAAAAAATCTATTTTTAACAGTTTCTGTTTTTTGTTAAAACAAAATTTTTTCTGTTTTGATTCTTGTAGTTTCTGAAATTCATTCAATAAAATTTCCTTCCTCTAAAAAAAAAATATATTATTTCAAGGGGCTAATCAAGCAAGGATATAAATTGATGACGTATTTTAACGTGATGCAATTTTATGATGACGAGTAAATGAAAGAAAGAATATTAGAATTTTTGGGATCTGAGCTACTAGACTCGAGGGAATGATACTGAGAATTCTTTGTAATATCCAGTCGCTTCCTCATTGCTTCAGCTTATTATCTCGCTTAAGGGGAGCTCTAGCTCTGGTTTTCTGAGTTCTGCATAGCTCTGACTTTCTGAGCTCAGCATACTTGACCTCCGTTTCAGAGCTCCTGCTCGGGAATCGTTTTGAGTATCATCAATTGCCCCCCAGCTCTTGGCCGAGCTGGCTTGGGCAAGGGCTGAGCTTAAGATATAGCAGAATGGTTTCCCAATCAGCGACTTCGAAATTTGCATGGGAATTTTTTTTTTTGCATGTAGGTGCTCCTGACATGAACCTGCTTGAAATGATGAGGGTGGAACAAATGACCCAAGCTGAGCCTATGTCTTTTCCTGAACTCATGACGCCAGATAATCTGTTCTTGTTTAGCGTCGTTGTAGCTGAACGAGACTTTCCCTTTTTTGTTGAATTTGATCTCTCTTCTACCGGGTCTGATGAGAGGGAGGATGCAGGGACTCATATCAAGAAACGCAAGAGGGATGGTTCATCCTTTCCTTCATCCAGATCTTTCTTGAGGGAAGTTTTGTTTTCCTCTACTAGGCAAAAATTGATGGATCTACTGTCAGCGACTGAGAAGGAGAAGGACGAGCTGAATGAGGAGAACCTGCGTTTGAAAGAGAGGATAACCGAACTGCAGAGATGACTAGGAATTTTGCTTTGATTGATTTTTTTGTAATCTTTGATGTTCTTGAAACCTTGATTTTCCCTTTCCATGTTTGCCGCTTCTTATACACAATTTGTGACTTTGAGAATCTGGCAGCTGATCTTCCATGTCGTTTCCTAGCTTGTGGACCAAAGACCCCCCATTTTTCCTTTTTGTAATGGATAGAAGCTGTGAAACTTTCTTTCTAGTCTACATCCGGCAGGTCTTTCTTTTAGTTCTTCTAGACCGGGAAACGCATTATAAGCTGCTGCGTTTGCTTTAGGGACAGAAGAACTCGTCTTGAGCTACTAAGCTATTTTTATGGACTGATAAGTTCAATGTGAGCTCCAGGGCTCTTTTTATGAACTAAGGAGTTCATCGTGAGCTCTAAGGCTCTTATTACGGACTATTGAGTTTGTCGTAAGCTCCAGGACTTTTTTTTATGAACTAACGAGTTCATCGTGAGCTCTAAGACTCTTTTTATAAACTAACGAGTTCGTCGTGAGCTCCAGTGCTCTTATTACAGACTAATGAGTTCGTCGTGAGATTCAGGGCTCTTTTTATGAATTAGCAAGTTCATCGTGAGCTCTAAGACTCTTTTTATGTACTAATGAGTTCATCGTGAGCTTCAAGGCTCTTTTTCTGAACTAAGGAGTTCATCGTGAGCTCTAGGACTCTTTTTATGAATTAATGAGTTCATCGTGAGCTCTAGGGCTCTTATTACGGATTAATGAGTTCGTCGTGAGCTCCTAGACTCTTTTTATGAACTAACGAGTTCATCATGAGCTCTAAGGCTCTTATTACGGACTAATGAATTCGTCGTGAGCTCTCGGGCTCTTCGTAAGAGTGAATGAACTATAGACTTGCTGCTTTATTAATAATCATATTACACGACAAACTTATTGAAAAAAATTTCTAAGATGTTCTGCATTTCAAGAGTGGGGTAAAATTTTTGTCGGGTCTGCTTTCATCCGGGGTGGCTACCTCAGGAATTTTTCGCTTTGTACCTCATACAAGATTTGCGATATTGTTGTGGTGAGTGGAGGGACCTGCCGAGGTGCGTACCTCGACTGCAACTCTGGATGAGGTGGTCCCTAGAAATCTCTGACGTCTCCTCTTCTTTTGGGGGATCAATCTCTGTCTCTACTTGGAGACCTATCTCGTCCTCTTTCTCTTATTTCCCTTTGTCTTTTTGCATGGATGAGCTCCCCACTTTTGAGAGAGAGCTTCTTCGCCGTTTATGTACTTTTCTACCTTGGCTAGTACTTCGGCCATGCTGGCCTGAGAATTTTTCGAAATAGAGAACATCAGGTCTTTAGATTGTACGCCTAAACCAGTTATGAATGCAGTAATGACAAATTTCTCGTCTGGGACATCCACTTTTAGTGATTCAGAGTTGAACCTCTGAACATAGGATCTGAGGTTTTCTTGGGGTCCTTGCTTCACATTCAACAGGCGATAACTTGACTTTCTGTATGTTCGAGCTCCTATGAAGTGAGATACAAAGGATATGGATAGCTCCTTAAAGGAGGAAATTGAGATAGGGGGGAGCCTATTGAACCATGCTAGGGCTGAGCTTTTCAGCGTGATGGCAAAGACTCTGCAGCGCACTGGATCCTGGTATCCATTCAACTCCATCTGGTTCTTGTAAGTGTTGAGGTGATCTACGGGATCCTTTGTTCCATCAAAAGCCTCTATCTGCGGTACTCTGAATTTTAGAGGGAGGGGAAAATGCAGCACGTCAGTGGTGAATGGAGATTCAGTCTGTTGTACCAAGGCATCGATCGTAACTGGAGCATTGCCTCTCACGGCTTCCTTCATGNTAGAGGGAGGGAAAAATACAGCACGCCAGTGGTGAACAGAGATTCAGTATGTTGTACCGAGGCATCCATCGTAACTAGAGTCTTGCCTCTCACAGCTTCCTTCATATGGCTGAGTTCTTGTTGGATACCCTAGAAGCGCTGCTCCCAGTACCGTTCTCTCCTTACCTGTTGATAGGGGAAAAAATCGTTCCTCTTGCCCCTGTCATTCTAACTTTGTACTTCTTCGTTGTGTCCATTCCTAGGGGGTATGCGAGATTCTGGCCCTATGGTTTGGCTATTTTCCCCTTCTTCGTTGACTTCCCTGAGGGGGTCGAGGTGTAGTTGCTCCCTAGGTGGTGGGTTGTTCTGGCTTTATTGAGCCTGACGTGCCTCCTGTGGGCGTTGTAAGAGCTTTAAGAGTTCTTCGTTTTGTTTCAACAAGCGTTGATTGACGAGGCGAAGGGCCTCCATCTCGTTATTCATGGGGAGACCCCCCACGGGTGGATTGATCTCTTGAACGTTCTCAGGTTGTCTACTATTAATAGTTTCTTGTTAATCTTGCATCCGTGGTGGATTTGTCTAACTTTGGCTCATGTTTTGCGTTGATATCATTAGTCACTGAAAGATCAATTTATTTATAACAGGAATAGTCGTTTTTCACAGACGGCGCCAAACTGATGGCGTATTTCAACGTGATGCAATTTTATGATGACGAGTAAATAAAAGAAACAATATTGAAATTATTGGGATCTAAGCTACTAGACTCAAGGGAATGATACTGAGAAGTCTTTGTAGTATCCAGTTGCTTCCTCATTGCTTCAACTTATTATCTCGCTTGAGGAGAGCTCTAACTCTGGTTTTCTGAGCTCTGCATAGCTCTAACTTTTTGAGCTCAGCATACCTGACCTCCATGTTTGACCTCCGTTCCAGAGCTCTTGCTCGGAAATCATTCTGAGTATCATCATAAATAATATACGATTAGAAACCAAACTCAAACTAACATTACACCGTAGTTGGAGACAATAATACAAAAACTCACAAGCAAGATTTCTTCACATCAAAATCATTTCGCAAGATCAAGCCTATCACTTCTTTTTTATGTTATCTATTCCCATTAGCTTTAATAAAATAGAGTGTAACCAATATCCTTAGCCGCTAAAAGAACATCACGATCTTCTTACCAAATTTCACAAAACAACTGTGACAAGGCTGTTTTGGTTGCACAAAACAAATGGTAAACCTGAGCTTCTAAATAACATTTGTGCTAATCTTTTAGTTGTTTTCAATTTCAGTCTGAACAATATCAAATTGTAATTTAATTTCATTACGCTTTCTAAATTTGTGCAACTTAATAATATAAGAAAGGCAAGATGTACATGAAAAATTCTATGTAGGTGTTGTCAGTTACCTTAACCATGCCAAATTAAGCAAAAGGACGGAAGCTATTCAAGTGATGATCTGGCTCCCCCTCGGTCAGTTTCCTCTCCTTCTCTATTGGTTAATGGAGTGATGAGTAGCGATGATTTAGAGAGATTAGACATAGGGAAAACAAACAAGCGTAGAAGTTGAGATGTATTGCTAATATCAGTTGACCAAAGGAAGAGAGATTCACAACTAATGTTATTCAATGCACTGTAAATATTTATTACCAAATTTATTAGCTTTAAAACCTTTATTATTTAATTAGGATAAAAATGACTTTAGAGTAGAGGATTGATCAAAAGTATTTCCTAATAACTGACATTTATATGTGGTCTAATATAAATATAGATAGATAGATAGATATAGATAAGATTGAGCAAAGAAAAAAAAATAAAAAATTCATAATTTTAATTAATTACTGCAGCTCAAATAATGTCAATTTTATATACATTAATTTAAGAAGATGAAAAGATATATTATTGTTCATAAAAAAGAAAATCAAAAGTCAATTAATAAATTTGTTAGTTAAATTAATGCAAACAATAATTTTATAAGAATTCTTGAAATAAGGATAAAATAGACATTATAAAATTACTAAAGGGTAAAGAAAAAAATTAAAAGTTTTTCACTTTAAGCTACTTTTATAAGTAGTACATAGATATAGATAGATATTTACAGACTAGTAACTCTTCAAAAGCCAAATGGTCATTAGATTATTTATTTATTTATTTATTTTCTTTTATGGTAATGCATTTGTATACATGTACAATTGAATGACACATATTAAAATATAATTTTCACGTTAATTGATTTGAAAATATATTTTTTACAGTATCAAGTGTTGATTACACTATTGTTTATTCATTGCCTATGTTTTTTTGTTTATTTTTGCAGATGGTGGCATATGAATTGAAAAATATTCAATAAAAATATATTTTTTTTTCAAAAAATTAATAATTTTTGTATTTCTTTCAACATTTTAACGTTGACAATAAGTTGTCACTAAAAATATACTTTAATATTTTAGTAGTATTTTAGTTGTGGCCAAACAACGAATTTTTAGCCATGACTGATTGTTGCCACTAAAAAATCAAGTTGTTATCAAACTTTTAGCGGTGACAAGTGCATTTAGTGGTAAAATTATCTTAATTGGCGACAATAATATTGTGGCTAAATATTACGCATTTAGTGACATTGTTCATATTACGGTTAAAATTTTTTACTTTTAGTGGTAACATTGTCATTGACAATGACATAGCTAAATTATTTATTATTTAGCCACGACATATGTTGCGTGGTCTAGTTGTCACTAAAAGATCTTGTGACAATTTTTACATATTTAAGTAGACCAATTTTTAGGAAAATATTAATTAAATTTAAAATGTGAATTTAAAGTATAGAGTTAATCAATTACAATCATTAAATAGATAATGAATTTCAATAAATATTAAAATTTATAATAAAATCAATGATAATGAATGATTAAATATATATTTACCCTTTCTTGTAGTTAGAATGCAGAATATCTAAAGCTTGTCTTTCCACTTGAAACCATAGCTTCTGGGTGGGTTTGTGTCAGCCATTGCTGGTTAGGATTTCCATTGGGCTGAAAGAGAATGATTTGTCGAAGAGAGACATCGCTTCCTTTGACGTCCATAACTAATTTAGCATTTGGGTTTAAGATGGCGCCGTTGGGGTTGAATACCCAGCGCTGGTTGCCCCACCCTTGGCATTTAAGGATGATGATGACATCACTGGAGCTATGGCCATCGGAGGTCACGCATAGGCTACGATCAGTATCTACTCGAATGGTGCTGTCACCATAGAGTGCCCACCGTTGCTGCCGCCTATTGAGCACACAATCCTCCAACCATACATGATTGTGTTCATTGTTGGCCTGCAAGCACATTTCCTTATACCCCACAATGAAAGTAACGGTGGGCTCTACATGTTCTCCCACACTCCAACCCTGCCGAGCGGCATGGATATTGTTCTCTACCAACAAGGTGGTACCCTGTGTAGCGTCAGGAGCAGTCAGGACTAGTCCAGAGTGAGGATTGGTGATGCTGCCGTCAATAGATACTACCCACTTAGTGGCGTCCGGAACAGCCGTAGAACAGTCGAATATCATGACATAGTCTCCATGGCTATACCCGTAGGTAGTCATGCATTTACCCATCGACCGGATTGTTCCATCTGTGTGGAACGTCCATTGTTGGTTTCTCTGTTGTCCACATGGCCACAGTTGGATGGGATTTCCGTCGTTGTCGTGCCCATCCCTCACGTCCACACACAATCCATCCCGACCACTGATGTGTCTTGTGGACTCTAGTATCGTACACGTTTCGTCGTTGTTGTAGTCCTTGCCCACAAGAAAAACGAGCATTCTTTTGATGCGAGCATGCAAGGCCGTGGCTATAGCATTATTGCCATAATTACTACTAGTTGTCGGGATGCATTGCCAGAGAAGAACAGCTACCATGGTACAGCGACTGAGTGTATTAAAGTTGTCTACTTCGATGAGACTGTAATTGTCATCTCGAAGAGTAACGTTCCCTGAGAAGATTACTCCATCTCTCGCCCGCTGGACCTCCAAGGACATAGGCGACCATTTGTTCTCCATGCTCAGCATCAAACCGCGCGGTGTAAAAGTGTTTTGATCGGTTATGCTTCTGCGGACAAGTTCCTCAATGCGTCCGAATCTTGCCGCTTCCGAGACCATCTGAATGACCACAAGGAGCGGTTCGGCTACGCTCCTACCGTACCACAACCTTGTGGTGGCATCAGCTAGGGGAGTGGGTCCCAGAGGGATAGATTGCCTGCCAACTCCTGCCTCTTTCTCAATTTGGCCATAGTTGACGGTGAAGGGTAACGAGGTTTGAGTAGTGTCGACGAATAAATTGTTGCGTTGAAGTTCCGTAGAGTTGCGGAAAAAATAGGATCTTCTATTTGCGCTAAAAGCCACCACATAAAGGTTCACCACATCCACTGCCAAGGTGACGATGTTGCCATCGTGATTGATGAGACGGACCAGAACGAACCGCTCCCAAACCGGCACTGAATTTGCGGGTCTCAGCACTGGTACACCATTTATTGGTTCGGTTCCCCGTGTCACTCTTTCCCGCAGTGCCCCTATGAAGTCTCTGTATGTGGCCCAGGTGGCACGCCACAAATTGAAGGAGACGGAGGGATAGTCCGGTGCACCGCGGCCTTGGATTCCAAGGCCGCAAATTGCGAGAAGAACAATGTATATTTTTGCTACTAGAACTCTCATCTTGCTAGTTGTTAGTTGCTAGCTAGGGGAAGGGTGGTTATGAGTTGGCTTAGCGGGGATCATGCACATTTGGTTGGTTTTATAATACGAGTTTAGGTTGCTACAACTGAGAAATGTAAATGTTGGAGTACACGGGATACTCTATTTTTTTGCTTTGTTCCTCCCTGATTTACACACGCAAAATTTAAAGTTAGATGCGTCCCAAGTCGGCGCCGACAACCAAAAAGAACTATTTCAAGGAAGCGCTTATTGTTTGGTCTATTTATAGACGCACCCATGATAAAAATCTGTTTTTTTTTTTCATAGTAAGACTTGAATCAATATGAATTATGTAGTAGGTATTTTTGTTGTTGAATATACATTAACTTTGTAAAGGAAGCAAGATCTTTGCCGGTTATGATAACATTGATGTGGTGTT